CATGCATGCATGCATACACCTAATTGCAAGTGGATCAATAAGCATGCATGACTCTGTACATGTATGCCTACACCCTTGCTTGGTAGCGTACATATCTACATGAATTTTGGGGGGTTGTTTTATTTTGTCCTTATTTTCGCCTTAGACGTCGAAGAAGGAGGGTACACGCACTTCACGCGCCTGGGCCTGAAGATTGGACCGTCCCAGGGCAGCGCGGTGTTGTGGAGCAACGTGACCCCTACGGGGCAGGTAGATTTCCGAACGATGCATGCAGGTGTGTCTCCTACAAAAGGCACGAAGTATGTCGTTAACTGCTTCTTCAACGAGGCTGTTGTAAGGCACGAAAAGCCGCCGGCTCTCTTGCCCCTTGAGCCCCCACAGGGCATCCCGGACTTCCAGCAGCAGCGGACAGGTGCAGGGTCTCCTCCACCAGCAGAAACTGGAAAGAACACTGCAATGCGTGACTCAGTCAATGCAAACGGACGATTCCCTCCACACACTGAGCATTCGCAGCCTCAACAACTGCAGCAGCAGCAGCTAGAGACTAGCAAAATTTGGGGTTCGCAGCACCGTCCGGTTTGGGGGCTTCCCGGCACCGAAGCACGTGGCAAGCAGACGTTCTGTCCAGCCGTGCTTTTTTCGCTGCCCCAGCAACAGTTGCAGCAGCACGCGATGCCGCACGGGACCGTCTACCCTACCCCAGGGTGGATGGTGGGTGGCGCAAAGCTGCCGGGGGCTCCCGTGGGGCTTCCTTTCACAGCCACCGGCTCTCCGCCTGCTGGGTGGCGCAGCCATGCAGCTGGGAGCTTGCCCTTAGATCAACGGTGGATGTGACATCGGCTCGTTTTCAGCTTCTAAAATGCAAGGATAAGGACAATTTGTAGTTTTACGGCAGAATATGACGTAGTCAGCAGAAGCTGGTATAAAGTCGTTAGCTACAGCAGCCCCTGGCTCTTTTCTCGCACTCTGCTGTCTGTCAGTTGTCCACAGTTTCGCGTCGTGGATGCCTGGAAGAAGCTGCACCGCAACTATCCACATGCAGACTTGCCATACACAGTGCTGTTCGTGGCATCACTCCACTCCTTGTTCTGTCATGTTTGACCCTGTTCGATGTNTTGCCATACACAGTGCTGTTCGTGGCATCACTCCACTCCTTGTTCTGTCATGTTTGACCCTGTTCGATGTAGAGTTTCGTAACTGCAGAGACAGTCGCAGAGCTCAACTATCCATGGCTGACCCGACGGGGTGTCGGAGAGGGCCCTCCATTCCGGCTGGTGGGACACGCACAGCTCCGGCAGCATCTGCAAGGGCCTAGCCCGCTCGACGGTTACGTAGAATGAGCAGCACGGAGACTGGATATTTGCTTATCTGGTGTGAGGACGTGCTTGACTTCAATCACGCGTTGCAATCACAGTAGTGAGGAGGAATAGGCGCACACGCATGCATACAATTTAAAGACGCCTGCACCTACATGCAAAGATTAGGAAAGCCTCCCCCCAAAGCGCGGCTAAACAGGGAAGGGGAGCCACCAAGGCGCATAGCAAGCGCTGGCCCACAGGGGAGCCGGGAAGGAAGTCCTGCAGCACTCTTGCTCTGCAGCATTCATCCCTGCAGCTGTTCTGGATTGTTCACAGCAGGTGCTCTCTAGGTGTGTGTCGTGCGTGACTAAGGGTATGAGTCGTCTGTCGTGCTGCTTGCGTCCATGAGGGTGCATCAGATGCCAAAATTACCTTGATCGGCGTCTCAGGTGGAGCCTTAGGTTTCAGCATACGGATAGTATGCTTGTTAGTGGCAAGCAGCGCTGCACTGATTCGAAACAAAACTTCCAGTCGAATGTTTGTCACATTAGCTTGCGTGGGCGCTTTGTGAGGTCAGATAAACGATGGCTTTGAGGAGCCATGAAGTCTTCCTTTACGGCAAGGAACACGCTTGCCTCTGCCTTGCGCCCGTACAGCGTTGATTGGCCCAGCTTGAGAGATTCGAATTGCCAATGGGGAGCCCCACCATGTCTTATTTCTTTCGGTTGAGGCACTCTCTGATTATGGAATTCTCTAGGGAAACGATGGCATCCCTTGTTTGTTAGCGTATCGACACTGCGCTACCATCAACCAATGCACTCTGTATTATTTGTGGATCATATCGTCTCGTCGTTCAGTTGGAAGACCAAAGTCAATTTCCATTAACCGTCTGAGTGCTTGGGTAGGATTTTGTATTTAGGAATGTTCAAGGCGTGCTGTCTGCGTACTTTTAGGAGGCACAGCTCCGCTATGCGCTATTGAGCTTACTCAGGNTGTTCAAGGCGTGCTGTCTGCGTACTTTTAGGAGGCACAGCTCCGCTATGCGCTATTGAGCTTACTCAGGACTGGACAGCTGGAACAAAGAACACGGTTAGCCGCAATTACAGACTACCGGCACGCCACTGCTGACTAGCAGTCTTTAGGCAGTCACTGGTCTACAACTTCCGGATTGCTAATTTTGAGTGTATAGTGTTTGCTTTTTGTTGAACCTCTTCGTTGTTGAGCTGTCCTCCAGAGTTCCAAGCTAAGCAGATGTTCCATGGCATCTATGCACTGTGTCGTGTGATGAAAGGCTACGGTACGCTGTTTTGCAACTTACGGTGCCCTTCGTAGTGTAGGCGTACTGGACTGTACAGTGTACAGATTGGCAAGGTAAAGCAAATTGTCAAATGTTTGTTCACTGTGTATGGTCGGAAAATTGCCCTTTTGTGCACACACATGCCTATGTAGACTTGTGGATGCCGACCATAGTTCACCGGCTAAAACTCGTGCTGAACCTGTTCATTATGTGACCTAGTGCAAACATTTTACGTGAAAAATGCGCCTGCACTAACGCTGCGGAGGAATCTCAACCGAACAACGATGTGGCAAAAAGCTACTGCTCCTCACTTCCCCCATCGGCAGTCTCAGATAAACCCTGTAAATAACGCAGTGCTTGCTCGCTGTTAGGGCCATTCAATTCTTTCACAACGACATCAAGTCTCACCTGCTCAAGCTGGTTAGCACAAGCATTGATACCTTTCGCTCGAACTGCAAGAAAGTTTACATCTTTTCTTTGCATATTTCACCACACCATCAGGCCGCCCACAGCCATCGATTTCCTCTGCTCTTAACCAGCCGGGCCAACGCAATGGAAGCTCTGGGTAGCTGTAGACAAGTCAATGCCGGAGGCGTTACAGTCCAACGGCAAACGCCATTCTGAAGATGGCCTTTTGGCAAGTGCGGGAAAGGCGCGCCAATGCCTCGCGGTTGTTGTTGAGACATCATAACACGCTCCCTTACGTGTGCTAGTGTAGGAGTCACACCTGAGCTGCATCACACCTAGGTACGCTCTTTCCAGCTCACCTCACNACGTGTGCTAGTGTAGGAGTCACACCTGAGCTGCATCACACCTAGGTACGCTCTTTCCAGCTCACCTCACCAACAGTCAGGCAGCCGCTGCCCACATCACACACATCAGAAATCTCGGCGCACTGAGACAGCGCACACGTCCTCATAGACCTGACACGCGCAATCTCTAATACGAACGGTCGCTAACGGAGGTGCAAATGCCAAAAATCATCGCGTGCGTCGATTGCTGCCTTCACAAATGCCCCGTCGGGCGACCATCAGAGCTCTTGGCAACTCAAGCACATAACAACTGGAGCTGACCCCTTCGGAGGCCAATTGTCCCACAGGGTACTTGAGCTGAGCTGCACACTAGTTGGCAACGGAGACTGTTCGCACGAAGGAACCTGCGTCCCTGCTGAAAAAACAGCCATTTACACGGCGGTGGATGCAGCAAAACCATCTGGCGGAAGTGTTACGTGTGGTTGCCATGTGAACGTAAGCCGTCAAACACGAGTTATCTCCCACAGCTTTCTTAGGAACAAGGCACCATCAATTTGTTTCAAGATTCTCCTCGCAGGAACGACAGACAACGCATCAACAATATCTCTCCATCGCAACCCAATTCAGTCTACATTTTAGCGCGCCATCCTGCAAAGGATGCAGAGCTTACAAAGTGATCTTCTACACGTCGGCCACAGGCCCACGCCTCGGAGACCTTATTCGTCCTCAATGCATGTTCATAAAGGCAACCGTGTTCTGCATGTGAAAATATTGGAGAAAGTACACGCTTCAGGGCATGTACATGCCTTCACGCTGCGTCAACCGAGTCGTTCTTCGCCGTCTGGTGGCTAGTTTAACTTTAAGAGAATGCAATGGGGGTGCGTGACACAAAGTTCACTGCACAAGCGGAAACAACGGGATGAGTCCACCTCCACAGTCCCCGGTACACGCCTAATTCCGGCAATATCTTCTTGCCACCCACATGCTCATGCGCCACAGCAGGCGCAACCCACCTCCTGTACACAGCCAAGCCTAGATGAATTCCCTTTTATGCTCACAGTCGCTAGTGCCCGTGCCTCTGGATATCTTTTGCAGATGCACCGTCAGGCGTCCACAAGGCACTTAGCTCATTTGCGATATCGGCTTCCTTGGTTCTGCACCCTAGCAGATGCCACTCGAGATTCCATTTTTGTCATCTTCGTAACGCGGCAAACTAGGTTGTTCGAGTGAATTTCCCTGCATCATAAAGGGGAAACAGAAACAGGGGTCTTCGTAGAGCTTCTATGACAGGTGCTGCCATTGGTATTCTTGCAGTGCGACTCCCCACGGCGGGCACCCACTCACCGCAGCTTGATGCGTGCGTCAGAGCGGCATGCATTTCTTGCACTCAGTATCGGATCAGTGTCATTTAAAATACCCACAGTCTTGGTAAGATGTACATGCTCAGATGTGCCCTTGTACTTGCATAGTGGGGTGCCAGAACATTGAGGTGAAAATGTGAAAAGGAGAGCAGCCGTACCGCACCGCGCGGCAAAAGGAATGCCTGTTGGAGTATGTTGTATTCCCCTGTAGGTAGCCAAGTATACGCACGTTTGCTTCAGGCCTCCGCTCACCGTTTCTGGAGTCTATGCGCATGTATGGTCCCCTGCTGCTGCTTCACGCATAGTCACGGTCGTGCATTTTCACCTGGCGGCAGCCTCCTGCACTGTGTTGCACGCGCCACGGTCCATCCTCTTCGGATGCCGCCATCCGCGAGTCAAGCGGCAGATAAGCAGGCTTGAAGTTATTGACGGTAAATGATTACAGAAACTACACGAGTGGCGACGGGTATTTTCTGTCATCGCGTTTACACAGCGCATCGACCACGGATAAGCAGGCACAGTCAGCGCATATCAGCGTGTGAAGATTCTGGTTGGTTGGAACACAGCTGCACCGCCTTTGGATGTGCTGCGAGACTGGGTTGCTTAACTATTCCCCAAGTCACGAATTTCTGGAGAAGCATAACTTCACGGCAACACTCAACGCGAGCAGTCACGGTGTATCCCTATCCCCTTCGCCACACCACGTTGCGCATGCTATTCAGCACCTTAGGCTTGAAAAGCCAGAGATACCTGCGCACCAGAAATCCCAACGGCATGATTCTTTTCAGCAGACTATGTACGAGCTCTGGCCTTTTTGGGAGTGCCAAAACCCACTCATGAACTTGTCACCGAACAATGAAAGCCAAATATGCTCCCACAAGACCAAAGAAGTGACTCGCCCTGAGCGCAAGCAACAAGCTGCCTCCTCACGAATGGCAAATATTGCGGAAGGTCTATTTCAGCATGTAAAAGTATCAATATGTCGAGCACAAAAAGTCGAGCAGGAGCCCTACACAACACATTCTCTTCGTAGTAGATAAAACAATGCAAGCCATGCGTTGCTCACGATAATCACCGCCCAGACAAACTTCTTGCACACTTAACGCAGAGTCACGGCACCAACCTT